TAAAAAAAAGGGGGGGGGGGGGAGTGGAGAGGAGAAGGGAGGGAGGGAGGGGAGATTGAACAAAAAAAAGAAAAGAAGTCATTGCACGATGAAACGATGCTGAACTGTCAGCAAATGAAACTCCTGTTTTCATCACCTCTGAAAAACAGCTAAGGAAAGGAAAACTTCAAAAAAGTAAAACCACTGATCCCTGTCTTCATTTAAGATCATAATAACAAAAAACCGATGCCTCTCGGCATAATCATGAGGAACAAAGATGAATCTTGCTGCCTCGCAGCGTTAAGCATGAGGAACAATGATGAACCTTGCAGCAGTGGTTAACAGAGTGACCGTCCCTTTTTTTTTTTTTTTTTTTTAATTACTCCATTCTATTGGTGGGGAGTTGCACCTGCTGGAAAACGGGTCCAGCGTCCCTTATATCATTAGTGTACATCGAAAACATACTGCCAAAGTGTCTTGCGGGAGAACCAAGTTGTCCTTTTTGTCCAGGAGAGCAATCTGTTGTATCTGGTTCTGGAAACAGGAGCTGGGGGAGCAAAAACGTTTTTGTAATAATCTTGTAATCCTTGGTTGACAAAAAACGGGAGCTGGGAGAGCATAAACGTTTTTGTAATAATCTTTTGATCCTTGGTTGACAATAGCATAAAGGAACACTCCGCGAGGCGTCACTTTTTTTTTTTTTTGTGTGTGTTGGGGGGGGGGGAGGTGTAAACATTCCAAACAACTTTCTAAATAACGAGCGAAAAGCTTCACAGAATCTTCGTCAAAACCATCAGTACATAAGACGACTCCCGTTCGCCCTAGTGAAATAATCGACCCATCGGTTTAACCACCAGATAGCTAATGACAATGGTGGTTGTTGATTATTCAACCATCGACATTGAATAGCTGATTTATTTTTGTCATGTGCCTTTTTTATGAACTTCTGTTAGTTAAGGGAGAGCACAACTTTTTTTGAAATAACCATTTTTGTATTTTGACTACAAGTTTATAACCACTTTTTTCAGAGGGCACTGAAGGTGATACTTCTTGCAGTGCACTACTACCCGCCTTCCATAGAAAATATTCGTCTTGAATTGAATTTGGCTATGTCGAATAAAGAATCTTTCATTCTTAGGGCATACTCACACTAGGCCCTCAAAATCGCGAAATCACAAAATCAGCGGCCAGATTGAGTCCTTGTAAAAGGACTCTATCTGGCCGCTGATTTTGTGATTTTGTGATTTTGACTAATTTTTGAGGGCCTAGTGTGAGTGTACTCTTATTGAATATTTTGAGTGAACCATCTCCCAGAAGAGATCCTAAAATAATTGCTGAAAAAAAAAAAAAAAAATTGCTTTACATTGATCTGACAAAGACATTTGCTGCAGATGCGGCAGCTCTGCAGCAAGTGCAGCATCTGCTGCGGCTGCAGTACTGCAGGTTGATTGATTGATTGAAAAAAAAAAGGAATCGGGAGGAGATGGCGTCTCCGCCTCCTCCGCTGCCATCCAGTTCCCTCTCTGCTACTGTCTCTCCTCCCCCCCCCCCCCCCCCCGCCCCCCCGCTCCCCTCCCTTTCCCTCCTCCTCCGCCGCCTTGCCTCCACCATCGCTGTGGACCCCCCAACCTCCGACTCCCTCCGTCTGTAGTTCGTGTTCTCCCGCCGCCTCCCCGTGCTTTTTTTTCCCCCCCCCCTCAAGGTGCGAAGAGCTACCACATCCTAAGTATGGTGTGTAAACCAATTTCGCCGTATCCGTTTCTTTCTGGGAAATGTATACAACTTAGTTGCCTGAAAGGAGTATAAGCATGTCTACCTTATCATATCCTTATGGGTATAGCAGGATTTGAACCTGCAACTTCTTTTTCAATCAGTCAATCAATCAATCAAATAAAGATCCAATTCTCGATTGATTCATTGGATTTTGATTCCTTGATTGATTGGCTGATTGATTGATTGAAAGAGAAAATAGAAAAAACAAAAAACACGGGGAGAAGGGGG